TATTGAATTTGAACACTTATCTGCCTATAAAATAGATGTAATGCATGCTAAGCTGGCCTTTATTTTAAGGCTGAGAACCATCTGCACACAAGATAAGAATCAACTCCCTATCTCTTCATCTAGCCAGTCTTGCATAGATCTGTGAAGAATACACTACCCTCCCATGCACCAGTCGTGCAAAGGACCTCTGCCAAAAGAGAAGAATCAGAGTGCAGTGTGTCCTGCTTACAATCCCAGCCTTTCTGACAGAAGTGTCAGGGACACATTGCCAAATCCATCATTCTTGATGTTATCACACCAGCACGACAGGGAGAACAAGAGGAGAAACGTGTCTGGCTCGTTACATGGACATAGATCATTTGAAATTAAAATAAGGCATTTTCTCAGAAGCCTAAAAATAGACTGTGACAGGAACAGAAACTGAATAAAGGGAACAAATTTGTCCTCATAATCTGAATTCTATAGCATGAGCAGACAATGAAAAGATCACATAATTGCATTTAGCTTACTTCCATATCACTGAAGAGCTGAACAGATGTACCATGATGTTTCACTTCAATGGAGTCCATACAGTTCATCTTTGGTGTTGCTCTGCATGACCCTTCGTGGAGGAGAACTTCAACATCATGTTGCAGGTCTTGAAACAAGGTGTAGGAGCAATTGCCAGTCAGCTTAAAATTCAGCCCATCAAAAGTGACAATATGTCGAGATGAACTTCCAATACAGACACCTGTAAATTAAGGAAAAAAACAAATAAAATTTAAAGCCATATCTGCATTTGCTTTTGCTTAAGCTAGACTATTTCTTCGCAATCATTATGGGCATGTAGAATCAATTAATTGAGAAAGCTAGAAAAGTAACAAAATGCAAATGCAGCAGCAAACCATTGACAAGAAACTTTGGTAAATACTTAATCACATGATTTTTTTTTAAGTATCTTTGTCTAGAGCAATTAGTATTAAAAAAGATTTGGATAAACCCCTAGAAAACCCTTTTGCAGGAAATTTACTCGAATTGAAAGTGATTTATTAATAAACTTAATATGAAAAATAAAAGCAGAGAAAATTCCTTCCCTATTCGTGGAAAGACTGTAACAACTTTCAATGTTTGCATTGCATTTTTAATATAGTATTGCATTTTATTCTGCATAGCATTACATTTGATAAAAAATAACACTATTTCATTCTTATCAAACATGTCCCCTCATATCCACTTGTGATTTTTTTTTTTTTTTTTCTCCCCAAATTGGAAACAGGAAAAGGGCAGAGAAATAACATGCACAGGATTAATAAATTGCCAGCTGGCAGCTCAGTGTCTGCGTGGTTAGATTATAAACACCTTCTTGACTTCAAAAACTGGAAAATAAGGAGGATTACAACAGGAGGACAAGAGGAAATGGTCTCAAATTGTGACAAGGGAGGTTTAGGTTGGATATTAGGAAAAACAACTTCACTGAAAAGGTTGTCAGGCAACCCAGAGAGGTGGTGTAGTCACCATCCCTAGAAGTATTTAAAAGATGGGTAGATGAGGTGCTTGGGGACATGGTTTAGTGGTGGGCTTGGTTGTATTAGGTTAATGGTTGGACTCATGACCTTAAAGGTCTTTTCCAGATGAAACAATTCTATTATTCTTATCTCACAAGTACCAAAAAGAAAAACCTGAACAAAAGGATGCTTCTGATTCATGCATTTTCAAATCTTTTGGCTAAAGATAATAAGTGCAATAAAAGCAATTTCAGCTGAATATGTAGGCAGAAAAATCTTATTGTTAATAATTCACCTACTTGGCTTCTAATTGAGATTTGAGAATAATCTGTTTCCCATTCATTGACCTTCAAACAATTTCCCAGGAAAAAACAGCGAGTTGTGATTCAAAAAGCCAAAACCAGAAAGCAACAACAAAAAAGGCAAGCCTATTTTGTGTACTGTTAGACACTAAATTGTCAAGAGATACACCCCTTTGGAGCATCTTCAGATATTTTACTGTACCTGCTTATAAAGTTCATGTATGAACATCAATGAAACAAGTTTGCAATAAAACATTTCTCAACCTTTTTTATTCACGAACACCTAAAAAATACTAAGGATTATGGAAATCCTTTTAAATTTCTCACAGGTATTCTGTAGCACAAAATGTAGTCCTGCAATACCTTTAAAAGTAGTCCAAAAAACACCCAACAGCCATGAATCACACATTGAAAATCATGTTACTATAAAATTTCTAACTAGTTTAGCAAGCAAGCATCTTTATCATGTCCTGGTCTATCTTCTAAACTCAGTTATACGACATAAGAAGATTTTTCAAGTACTTCCTCTTTGCAGAAGCATTTGTCTGACCATCCACACTGTCAAACAATCCCTTGAAAACATGCTTTTGCTCTCCAAATAACTGAATGCTACTTTGCTGATCACAATTAAGCATCCACTGCTATGTCCCTGTGTTGCTTGACCAGTCTCCATCCATAACAACAAAGAGATGCTGAAGCAGACTGATATCCTATTAAGCACCTACTTCGCCATGTCCACCTCTAAAATTTATGAACTGCTGTGAATTCTGCCTCTGACTTCAGCACATATGGCATCAGAATCAGAGATGTTGCTTTAGTTGACATAGCATCACCCTGGTTTCACCAAGGAGTCATTGAAAAAAGGGTACTTTACCCATAGGGTTTTGATCAGTTGGTGGTGTTGAGGATATTTTATCCCCTTCTCTGCAATAGACGAAAAATTACTACTTTTCCCTCACAAGCTTTACCACCTCAAGTGAAAAAAATTGGAATGTCATTACTCATTAAATTCCTAAAAAGTTAAACAATTTATAAATTCATGAAGGCTTAAACAGCAATCCTTATTTTTAGCTCACGTTCAACAGTAGCAATTTCAAGTTAACTATAGGTCTTTTCATGATAATCAGCTAGTAGTACAAATGGTTCATTTCCCTTTCATCCTTTCAGAAATTCTTTATGAAGACATGCCTTGAATGCAAAAAAGTAATGCCTTCATGTTACCATCAGTGTGTTTAGGACTGAGAAAATTATCACAGATGCACTTTTCAGGGGTAATATCACAAAGAGCATCGTTCAAGGACTATAAAATATTTATGATTATTCAGCTAAAATCTTCTGACTTTTTTGGAATACTTATATCAAAACAGAAATGTTAGCTTTGAAAGCACTTTAGGAAAGGATAAAACTTGGAGCATCAAAATTTTGGATAGCAACCAGTTCAGGGATGAAAATACCCAGCTTAGGTATTTCAAGCAGTGCCTTGAAGAAACTGTTCTTAAAACAGCCAATTAAGCAGAGGACATTTTAAATTGAGATTATATATTACAAAGAGAAGGATTTTTATTTATAGGATTTATATATTATAGGATTTTTTTTATAGGATTCTGACTTTCTTTTGAGAATTAATCATATGACTTTAGATGTAAGCCAAATTTTCAAACAATGTATGGAAGTACAGTCCTCTACGTTTCATCAAAGCCAAAGATACTCAGGCTCTGAACAGGATTTAAACACTGTAACACCTACAGTTTCCTATTTTGGAGATTTCTGCAAATTTTAGCTGCAATAGCATGCATGATTGGGCTGTAAGAATGCATTCTTTTGTATAGTTACCCCTTTATGAGTTACTTGACCTGATCTTATTGACATTTAATTCAAAATAAACATCTTGACTGACTTTTACCCAAATCGATCGTATGACTATAAGACATTTCACACAAAGAGGTAAATCTCACTCCCCAGGCACAGGCTGAGGTGCACCAAAAGACCCAGTGGCTGAGCCTACCCCTTGTTCCAGCTGTGACAGCTGTGGAATGATGCCCTGTGTCACTCTGCATGCAGCCAGGCATCGCTGCCTCCTTCACCCCAGCCTGCCACCATTCCACTGTTACCAGAGCATCTGTCTGGGCACTGAGGCAATCTGGAGGCTTCACCCTTGAGATTTTGCTCAAAATCATTACTCTTCCTCCCTGAATTCCCTTCACATATATGGAATTTTCCTAAAGAATCTCTTTTCTAATAAATGGATCGCCAGCCTCAGGGCTGAATCTCTCCACTCCGTAAATGCGAGTGGGTGCATTTAATTTCTGTCCCTGTAATCTCAGCCAAGGCACTAATCACACAGTATTCACTGTTTCTGCCCAGATATTCAGTGTGAGATTTTATGGAGGCAGGGAGCATTTTTTGGTGTTTTTTCTTTCCTTCATACTTCCGCTTGACTGAGGTCAAGCCAAACCCTCAAGCCTAGAGCTGGACCAAGAATGCATCACTTCCTCACAGCTTGCTGAGATGAATTTCTGTTTTCTTACAAACATCCACTTCCCCAGTTCACACAGCTTTGGAAATTGAGTGAGATTCTCTGATAAAACACTGTAGCTATGCTAATGTAAAAAATTAACTCGCAGTGGCCCTGAACTTGCAAAGAGCATCAAACATTCCAGGCATCAGTGAGGCTCTCATGCTTCTAGCTGTTTGTTTCACTGGCATACAGCAGCAGCTCCTCCCACCTTAAGCATCTTTGATGTGTACGACTGAGCAGCTCCACTCAGCATTACATTTCTGTAATTTCTGTAACATTCAGCATCAACATTTCAAGCGATGGGGAGGGAGAGGTGTGCATGCAAAGACAGGTACTCACAGGGACACATCCATCGGCAGCCGCACGTCTCTTCAACCTTCACAGCAGGAAGATTGCTGTGACATGCTGGTTTGGGCATCCTCTCACAGTTAATTTGGTGGCTTTCCAGAACTGTGTAATCTCCTGGAAAGCATGTCACAGTGTGGCACTGGTCCGGTAATGTCCATTTATCGCCAGGCTACATAGGGAGACACGGATATTTAACCAGTGAAAAGAACAGGGGTGGAGGGTGGAAAAATGCAAAACTTGGCTGCTGCCACAATCCTACAGCTAGCAAGTAAAGTGATACTGACAGCAATGCTACTCAAATTAGCCTTGGATAATTAAATAATAGAATGCAGTGTATTACAGGCTTCATGTGGATGAGAAAGTTTAAAATAGCAACACTGTAAGAAATAGACTCTGAAATTCCAAGCAAAAGATAACAATCTAGAACAGGAGATGTTTTCTTACTGGTACTCCATCTATTGTTAGCTTAGGCATCCTACAGCATGCATGGATAACATAGTCAACAAAGAATTCCCCTTAGGTTTTCTTTAAATGTCAAAGCCTTTAGTTTTCACAAGCCATAAAATTATTTTTAAAAGAGCTCTGAGCA